TTCTTTGATTTTGTTATTAATTGGTTTATATAGTTGGCTGCTCCCACGTTAGGGGCATAGATATTTAAAATTGTTAGATCTTCTTGTTGGACAGTTCCTTTGAGTATGATATAGTGTCCTTCCTCATCTCTTATTATAGTCTTTGGCTTAAAATCTAATTGATCTGATATAAGGATTGCCACTCCTGCTTTTTTCTGATGTCCATTAGCATGGTAAATTCTTTTCCACCCCCTCACTTTAAATCTGGAGGTGTCTTCAGGTTTAAGATGAGTTTCTTGTAGGCAACATATAGATGGGTTTTGTTTTTTTATCCATTCTGATACCCTGTGTCTTTTGATTGGGGCATTTAGCCCATTAACATTCAGGGTAAGTATTGAGAGATATGAATTTAGTGCCATTGTATTGCCTGTAAGGTGACTGTTATTGTATATTGTCTCTGTTCCTTTCTGATCTACTACTTTTAGGGTCTCTCTTTGCTTAGAGGACCCCTTTCAATATTTCCTGTAGAGCTGGTTTGGTATTTGCAAATTCTTTCAGTTTTTGTTTGTCCTGGAAGCTTTTAATCTCTCCTTCTATTTTCAATGATAGCCTAGCTGGATATAGTATTCTTGGCTGCATGTTTTTCTCGTTTAGTGCTCTGAATATATCATGCCAGCTCTTTCTGGCCTGCCAGGTCTCTGTGGATAAGTCTGCTGCCAATCTAATATTTTTACCATTGTACGTTACAGACTTCTTTTCCCGGGCTGCTTTCAGGATCTTCTCTTTGTCACTAAGACTTGTAAATTTTACTATTAGGTGACGGGGTGTGGACCTATTCTTATTGATTTTGAGGGGGGTTCTCTGAACCTCCTGGATTTTGATGCTTGTTCCCTTTGCCATATTGGGGAAATTCTCTCCAATAATTCTCTCCAATATACCTTCTGCTCCCCTCTCTGTTTCCTCTTCTTCTGGAATCCCAATTATTCTAATGTTGTTTCGTCTTATGGTGTCACTTATCTCTCGAATTCTCCCCTCGTGGTCCAGTAGCTGTCTGTCCCTCTTTTGCTCAGCTTCTTTATTCTCTGTCCTTTGGTCTTCTATATCGCTAATTCTTTCTTCTGCCTCATTTATCCTAGCAGTGAGAGCCTCCATTTTTGATTGCACCTCATTAATAGCTTTTTTGATTTCAACTTGGTTAGATTTTAGTTCTTTTATTTCTCCAGAAAGGGCTTTTATATCTCCCGAGAGGGTTTCTCTGATATCTTCCATGCCTTTTTCGAGCCCGGCTAGAACCTTGAGAATCGTCATTCTGAACTCTATATCTGACATATTACCAATGTCTGTATTGATTAGGTCCTTAGCCTTTGGTACTGCTTCTTGTTCTTTTTTTTTGTGGTGAATTTTTCCGCCTTGTCATTTTGTCCAGATAAGAGTATATGAAGGAGCAAGTAAAATACTAAAAGGGTGGCAACAACCCCAGGAAAATGTGCTTTAGCCAAATCAGAAGAGATCCCAAATCGTGAGGGGGGAGAAAGGGGATAAAAAGAGGTTCAGAAAGAAAAAAACAACAAAAAAGAAACAATTAAAAAAAAAACCGATAAAGAAAAAATATAAAAAGGAAAATATATATATATACATTAGATAAACTATTTAAAAAACGTTAAAAAAGAAAACGGTAAAAGTTAAAAAAATTTAGCAGAAGAAGAGAAAAAAAATTGAAAAAGAAAAAAAATTAAATTAACTGCAAGGCTAAAGAATCATGGGGAGAAAGCCATGAGTTCTGTGCTTTGCTTTCTCCTCCCCTGGAATTCTGCTGCTCTCCTTGGTATTGAAACTGCACTCCTTGGTAGGTGAACTTGGTCCTGGCTGGGCTTCTTGTTGATCTTCTGGGGGAGGGGCCTGTTGTAGTGATTCTCAAGTGTCTTTGCCCCAGGCGGAGTTGCACTGCCCTTACCAGGGGCCAGTTCGAGTAATCCTCTCGGGTTTGCTTTCAGGAGCTTTTGTTCCCTGAGCGCTTTCCGTAGAGTTCTGGAGGGCGGGGATGAAGACGGCGGCCTCCTGGTCTCCAGCCCGGAGGAGCTGAGAGCCCAGGGCCCCACTCCTCAGTGCGCCCTCAGAGAACAGCGCCCAATTACTCCCGTCACCCTGTCCTCTGGCCGCGCTCCGAGCTGACCAGCCTGCGACCGGTTCAAGGTAACCCCGAGCTTAGAGCTCACTACTCGGCTCTGTCTCTGTAGCCGGCTTCCCCGTTCCAATACCTGTAACCTCTGCAACACTCAGACACCCCCGATCCTTCTGTGACCCTGCGGGACCTGAGGCCACGCTGACCCCGCCTGGGCTTCACCCCGGTTAAGCCTCTGGAGCGATGTCCCTCAGCGGAACAGACTTTTAAAAGTCCTGATTTTGTGCTCGTTGCTCCGCCGCTTGCCGGGAGCTGGCCCCAACCCCCGCGGTCTATCTTCCCGTCGCTTTGGATTCACTTCTCCGCCAGTCCTACCTTTCAGAAAGTGATTTTCTGTTTCTAGAGTTGTTGTTCTTCTTCTCTTCGATCTCCCATTGGATTTGTAGGTGTTTGCAATCTTTAGATAAGCTATTTAGCTGATCTCCCGCTACCCGAAGTAGTCTCAGCCTGCTACTTCTCCGCCATCTTGACTCCTCCCCCTCTGTGGTCTCAATTTTATTTATTCCTTTTATATGTGCGTTTTTATCATTTTCACTCCTGATTGAGATTCTTGAGGACAGAAACTGAGCTGTTTTCTGGTTCTTCTCTTTCTCCCAGAGCATCTCAAGTCTGCCCCTCAGGACATAGGAAGCCTTTGTCATTGTTGGAGATTGATCAGTGTGTTGAGCATGCTCCCTAGCGTCACCCACCTTGCGCCTAATTATTCAGTAATCCCGTACAGAAGACTGTATTGTGGATTTGAACATGCCAGACATATCCACCAAGCACTGAGGAGATCTGACTGTAATTTTCCTAAATGCTGTTAACATCCTGATAGACCTATAAATACACAGAACAAACTGGTCGTTACCAGAGAGGAGGAGGTTGCCGGCGGGGGGCGGGGGGTCAAGATGGGCGAAGAAAAGTAGGAGATACAGGCTTCCACTTATGGAATGAGTAGGTCACAGGAGTAAAGCGGCACAGCATTGGGAACATAATGATATTGTAATAGGGTTGTATGATGACAGATGGTAGTTACACTTGTGGTGAGCACAGTACGACGTATAGAGAAGTTGAACCTCTACGTTGTGCACCTGAAACTAATGTAACATTGTGTGTCAACTGTACTCAAAAAACCCATGTTTTTAAAAGATTATCCTGATAATGGAATCCAAAACTGTACTTAAATTTAGTTCCTAACCACTGTATCCATTGGATCACCCAGTCCTCTTAGGCCCATGTTATTAGAAGCATAATAGAATAGTCCATCAGGAATTAGTATTTCAAAGAGTCATTTTGGTCATTATTTAACATTATATGATATATGTGCCCATTTAATTATATCTACAGATTTATGATTAGTAAAGAGATATTCATAGGTTAAATTTCTGGGTTTTCCTGCTTACTTTCCTTGATTCTTTAATTCATCACCAGCAATTTTCTATAACACTTTATAGTTTCTAAGCATATCAAAGCAAGTTCAGAGCCCTTACTTAAATTCTGCCAATAAGAGGGAACTATCATCTTTCTAGCTGGTTTTGTTCAGAAATGGTCATGATGAAAGAAACTGCAGTGGACTTGGGATTAACGGACGCCAGTCTTAGGCACACAGAAATCCTCTGCTGAGTAAGGTGACTTGGAGCTGCAAGAGCTAGGGGACATTCGAGTTTCTTGTTACCAGAATTCCCTGTGAACTGTGTTATAAAACAGGAACAGAAAGAGAAAGAAAAAGAAAAAGAAAAAGAAAAAGAGGGTTATGAAAGCACTCATGTTCCACCAAATCCTGTATAAGCAATTTCTACCAACAAAGAAGGAACCTTGTTTTTAGCCTACTTCTGCAGCCAGTTATTCTGTGTTGCATATTGTTAGAGCAACGTTCTTTTGCCTGGTACTTTTTCCATACCCCAGGGCAATGCTCTTTGTGTTTGAAGTATCTCCAGTGATATACGTAGGAAGAAGCACATATTTATTTTTACAGATCCCCCAAAGTATAGTAAATCATTCAGAATTGAAGAGAGACAGACTCTGATGCTAACACAAACAAAAAATAACCATGCTTAGGGCCCAAGAGTCTCTGGGGATTTTGTTGAATACACTACTCAGAAGTTGAATTAAACCCAGCTTTTGAGATTTTTCTGAAGTCTGTCCTTCTTTTTTTTCCATCTTTTAAAATAAATATTTTTCACGGGGACCCCAGGGCTTTATTTTGCATATATATTTTTAAAAATTACTTCTTGGTAACCAAGCAGTAACTCTGCCTGAATACTTAAACATAGTTTAAAAGGGACAAAAGACCTGCTGATTGTCTCAGGACTTGGGAGCTCCATTCTGTGCTTGGCCATGTGCTTTGTATCTCAGCCCCCAACCCATCTGCACAGCCTTGCACCCAATACCTTTAAAGAACTAAAAACCAGGAACGTGAGAAGAACTTGAGAGCCACTATTTCCATGACTCTCTAAAAGTGAATCCATACATAGTTATCTATTTGGATTCTCCTGATGGCACATGAATACGATATCTTTTTAAAATCTAGTCAGTGCCCTCCCTACCTATGCAAAAAATACCTTCCTTAGGGCTCTCTTACATTTTACATCTTGTTTAGTTAGTGTGGTAGTCAGCATGGTGGGCTCTGAAGTCAGACTATTCAAGTTTGAATTTTAGCCCCTCCCTTTACAAGCATCGTGACCTTGGGCGAGTTACCACTCAGAATGTCAATTTCCTCATCTGTGAAATTATCTGAGTAGTAGTGCCTCCCCCAGAGTCCTGAGGGTTAGCGGTAAAGGCTTTGTACAGTGCCTGGAACATAGTAAACATGTGATATTAGCAAGTATTTTTACTACTTATGCTTTGTTTCCTAAAGGTTCTTTGCAGGTGGATTTTAAGTGTTAAGAAGAATTATCGGAAGAATGTTGCCTATCATAATTGGAGACACGCCTTTAATACAGCTCAGTGCATGTTTGCTGCTCTAAAAGCAGGCAAGATTCAGGTACTTTTTAGAGCCGTTCCTATATTTAAGACTTCTTGCTTTGGCAGTAAAATCTACAGCATATTCTTTCTTTTTTTAGTGTGCAGTCAGTAACGATGAGTGGAATAATATTTGTTGCCACTTACAAAATAAATGACATCTTGTCAGTTGAAAAAGACTAGCATGGCAAAATACTTAGTTATTAATTTTCTTCCATATGCAGTATATATATATGGCCTATTTTAAAAAATCTTTAAAATAACTTCATGTTAAGTTTAATAGTCTTTGGGCAAATAGTTTCTCCAGAAGATTTTCTTCAGTATAAGAAAAAGTATCAAATTTCTCATGTTCCCATTCAACCTGCTCCATAGTAGAATTCCTCCAAAACCACTCAAGTGGCTTCATAGCTAATTCCAGCGTTCTCTATCACATTTTCTCTGGAGCACTCAGTTAAATTTTGTTAAGTCGCATCTCACGGAAAGGGTTTTAATATCATCTACATTGACCAGAGACTGTGTACAAGGAAGATCAACACAGAAAGCGTTCAAGTAATTTGTTCCTTTCCAGGCCATATTTTATCCATAGCTCTGTCTTAGGTGTTAACTTCAGTGGGAATTGACTAGTTCTTCTAGGTAAGTGATTCCAGGCATCCATCAAATAACTGTTTTTCATTCAGAGCTTCCATGCTTTTTTTTTTTTTTTTAAGTAAATTCTGAAAATGTTATTCTCTGTCTCTCTTTCCATAGGGAGCACATTTTAACTGGCTAGAGCTAAAAGAAGGAATTGTTGTCTAAGAGGCCATATGAAATACCATAGTAGTATTTCCCTGCCATAGCAAACATTTATAAAAAAATGGGATCAACTTATTTTGGGCTGTGGAAAGGTCATCAGGATTATACAGCTGAAGACTGTCCATGCTTTTTATGAAGAATAAAAAAATGATGATTTTGTCTAATGTTATAAACATACTACGTAGAGTGTTGAGAGTTTCCAGCAAAGTGGAGCTGATAATGAGTTCAACTTTGTTTTTTTACTGATGAAGGAGACCAGCAGGATAAATAATACAAATGACATATTACCAAAATAACCTCTATTTGGCTTTGGAACATATTGTGCAACCTTTTAAGGCCAGATTTTTCACTTCCAGTCCTCTTTTTTATGTATTGTTTTGCTTAATATTCACATTGTCTCTGTTCCTTGAGGATCCAGCAGCTACCAGCAGAGCGAGGGCAGCAGAATCCGCAGGCAGCTCGGAGGCAGAGAGACAGCCATTAGTTAAAGTTTATTTTGATGATGCCACATAGATGTAGAGAATGAAGAGTTAATGCTATTTTACTGTAGGTGGACTGATGATTGATTGCTTGAGGCACTTCCCCTTTTTGTGTGGATAAATGACGTTTATAATAATCCCCTTATGAAGACAAAGTACCGCTAATTCCCTGCAGAATAGGATTCTAGCCCGAATCCTTTGTGACCCTAAGTGCGGAAAGCACTCAGAAAAACAAGCATGTGATTTGTGAACAGAGGTAGAATCATGAAACTCACCAAGTGGTCTTTCTCTTTCCGGGGACATCTCGGGTGGAGCAGAGCAAGCTGACTGACCTGGAGATCCTTGCGCTGCTCATCGCGGCTCTCAGCCACGACTTGGACCACCGGGGTGTGAATAACTCTTACATCCAGCGGTAAGGCGCCTTTTCCCCAGCTAAAGAAGAAAACGTTTCTCTTAAATCGGAGGGCTGTCTTTATTTATTTATTTATTATTTTATTTATTTATGATTTTATTTATTTATGATTTTATTTATTTATTCATTTGGGGGGAGAAAGCATGAGCACGTGAGAGAGAGCATGAGCAGTTAGGAGGAGCAGAGGGAAAGGGAGAATCAGACTCCCCGCTGGGCAGGGAGCCCAGCTCCTGGGCGGGGCGCATCCCAGGACCCATGAGATCATGACCTGAACTGAAGGCAGACCCTTAACCGACTGAGCCACCGAGGCGCCCCTAGGGCCATCTTTTTTAAAGTAAAACCACAGCAAAATTTGATGGTACCAGATTTCAATTAATTGAGGCCCCATAACATACTCTGGTTTTACTTAAGTGAAATGGGAAAAAAAATACTAAATCCAATATTGTGTTGGTAGCATTTCTGGCCTGAAATTCAAAAGACCATTGTGTTGAGAATCATCTTTCACGAGATAATTACCAAGAGTGTTGCTTTGGTTTATGTATACCCAGCTTAAGAGCTTCATTAGGAAACGATATATTAAGACGAGTTCAAAAAAGATAGAATTTTACGCTGAAATAGAGAAGATAATATCTGAAAAGTGCTTAGCTCGACCCTGAGTACTTAGTGAGCACTCAGTAGAAGGAGGCTGTTGGTCTTAGAGAAGACAAGTTGAGGCCTGCAGTCAGACAGGATGCAGACCCTCTCTTTGCCACATGATTCCTGTGTGGCCTTGGACAAAGGAGCTGATTTCTCTATGCTTCAATTTCCCAATCTGTATGATGGCGATAATAGCTTACCTACCTCATAGGGTTGATATGAGTTTTAAGAGCTAACATGTATTGATAGCATGTGGAATGAACCTTGTGTATTTAAGTGTTAATTCTTAGCAGCAGATGCTAGTGATGGTCCTGTCGACATCAAAAGCCTGCTTTTTGGCTGCTTTTCAGAGCAGATACTAACTGGAGACAAGCATTTCAGGCTCCTCCCTCCCGGGCCATCCTTAAGTGACATTTGCAATGACAAATGAGATGATAAAGGTGACATCACTTGTCAGATTTTTGAGCCACTGGAACATGTTTATTTACTCATAGCAACGTAGTTGAGAAGCCTACATCTTTTTTTTTTTTTTTAAAGATTTTATTTAATTATTTGTCAGAGAGAGAGAGGGAGAGAGAGCAAGCACAGGCAGACAGAATGGCAGGCAGAGGCAGAGGGAGAAGCAGGCTCCCTGATGAGCAAGGAGCCCGATGCGGGACTCGATCCCAGAACGCTGGGATCATGACCTGAGCCGAAGGCAGCTGCTTAACCAACTGAGCCACCCAGGCGTCCCGAGAAGCCTACATCTTAATGGCAAAATCTCTTACTACTGAGCATTTCTTTAGGTATGCAAGTGAGGCAGCAAATGGGGAGACCCCTTAAGGAAGTTCCAGATGTCTGATATCTTGAGGGAATTTCAGAGAGCTCTCGAGTCACAGTCCCTTTATCTAAATAAACGGAAAACTTCATATAACAAGAATTGTAGTGATGCGGCCACCATGTCCTCTGCTGACCTTTAATGGGAAAAGATGGCAAGCTCTTGCCCAACTGTCAGAGACTGGCTGTTTCCTCTTTAAGATCTGAACTTAAAGAGGAAACATTTTGGAGAACAGGCTGGATGCCATGTCCTTTGTCCTATGTGCTCTGCCATGTGATCGTGCTCCTGAGCCTCATGTTGACACGGGAGTAATTACGAAAGGGAAAAACGACATGGAAAGATGTTAGTGTGGGTCAAACACAGCCAGAAGATCCAAGACAGTGGTGTATATTGCCTCCATACCTCAAAGCTGAACGTAATATTATTAGTGTATGGTTGGCTTTAAGATGCCATGTTGCCCTGCTTTAGAGTGAAAAAAACACTCAGCTATTTTTTCCTTTGTTTATTTAAAAATAATTACCCGGAAAAACATCTGGAGAAACGTCATCTTCTCTTCAAAAAAAAAAAAAAGTCCTGGGAAAAATTCATAGACTGGAGAATCTTGCCTCCACACACCCCACAAAGCAGACTTCCACCAAGTAAGAATAACTTTAAGAAAAAAAGTTAAAGGAGTTTCAGAGATTTTTATTTCTTCCTACATCTCTGTGGTTTGAGTAGAGGAAACCAAGAATTTTCCAAGGATATTGCTTTTTTTTTTCTTTCCTTAGTGGTAAACGAGTAATACTTCAGGAGGATTTTCATAACCGGGGGACTCTTGGGGGAATAAGAGTACCATAAACATTCCCTTGTAGAGCTAACTTGTAAAAAGGGGTACCATGTCCAGTCTCGTCAGTACCAAACACTACGTGAGGAAAACCATTACAATCAGAGAAGGCACAGAACTAAAACTAATATATCAAAAAGATGGAAAGCACTCATGTCGAACCGAAGTTAGAAACTGAACTTCCCCTGTCATTCGTTTTTCTTGAACATCTTTTCAGAAAATTAATTTGAAGTAAGATATATAGGAAACCATGTTTTGATCCATTATTTGGTCCTTTGATGGCTTCCTTGATTAGGAAAACTGTCATTGTGAGGAGAGCCACAAGTATGCCAGTGAAATATTTGGAGGAAGTGTTCACTGCTATGCTCTCTTCTCCCATTTGGGTGGGTAAAACCGAGAGTGGTTTCTGATAGATATTAAATTGTTACTTTAAAAACAGGCAGTAATGGGGACAAAATGTCACAGACATCTACTAGAGAAAGCACAGCATGACCTTCGGCCCATGTTGAGAATCCTCTTGCATTAGGCCGGCAGTCAGTATAAGAAGACTGTTGTGGATGCATTTATTTGTTAGATTTGAGTTTGGTATTTTATAAAAGAATAAGTGAAAGTGTCCTGCCTTTTAGGCAGCCTGCTAATGGACAATTACTAGGGCTCAGCACTTTGTGAGGCAGAAAGAGAGCTATGAAGTATAAAATGTGGTTCCTGTAATTAAGTAATTTTCATAGTCTCATGAAATGGTGGTGCTTGATATAAGAAAAGTACCCAGTAAGTGCTGAGGTGCTTTGTAATGTGGACTGTAAGCATTCGGCAGAAGAGATGGGTCAAGACCCGTGCAGTCCCTCTCCAGTTAAAGGACCAGGTGAGATAAAGTGGATCCTGAGATGTGGGTAAGATTTGGATAGGAGAGGGAATGAAGATAGCCCAGAAACACTTGGAGGTGGGTAGGCATTCTCAGGGAACAGCAATGGCTGGCCCAGTGCAGAGTCCAAAGGCTCCACTGACCGGGACCGAGAGTCAGAGCATGAACAAGTAGAAGGTAGCGGCCCCTTGGAGGGAGAGCTATAAAACTAAGCAGTGAGCTCGAGCTGTGGTAGAGTGAAGATACCAGGAGCATTGCAGTGAGTCATAAGGACCTTGCTGAGGAAGGAAGGATGACTGAACGTCAGATACAAGGTGCAGTGGGTAATAATTGGGAGCACGGAGTTCAGCCCGGAGGCTGGTACAGCTGCCGCATACATGGGGCCTCTCACATACTGGCTACAGGGAGGAAGAGATGAGGGAGAAGTGCTTTTCCATTTACTACAAAACAGATGCTAATATGCATGAAGGAAGGGGGAAATCACTCGTGACCCAAGAAACTGGAACAGCGATGGAGCCATTGATGAAAATGGAGGAACTGGGAAGTGTGTGCATGTGTGTGTACTTAGGGAGGAAGGGACGAAAAGGGCAGAAGGGGGAGGAGTGTTGGCAATGAGGAGAAAATAATAAATAGTGTGGTATTTAGAAGAGGTAAAATGATTAAAGGAATGGTTTTTTTCTTTTTTGCCAAGTTTCCATAAAACCAGAATAAAAGAGTTTCCTGGTAACCATAATCAGACCATGTCTGTGTCCTGGGTCTGTGCCCTGGTCTCCCCGACTCTAGCAGAGGAATGGGAGTGAGCTGGAGTCCAGGCCCGCATGGGGACAGTAGACGGTCAGCGGGCTCCAAGGGCCTCACCAGGGGAGACAGCACAGGAATCACCATTTGTGAAGTTCAGCTGGGTAGAGTCTCTATTAGCCAGAAATGAGATCGCTCCCGATTAGGGTGGAGGGCTTGAGAGACTGGAGTCTCTCAATATGCAAGAACTGCAAGTTCAAGGAGTCCTAATGTCACTAGCTAATAATAATCATAATAATAGAAGTTAACACTTAATATGGCCCTTACCATGTGGCACTGGGAACTCTTTTTAGTCCTTTATATACATGAGTTCAGTTAGTCCTTAGACTACCCTGCAGTGGCTACGATGGTTACCGTGGTTAAAGGCTGGCTCGAGCCAGACGCCTGGGTGCAAAAGCAAACACTGACTCCATCTGACCTTGAGTGAGTCATTTAATATCCCTCTCTCTATTTCCTTCTCTGTGCAATGGAGTAATGACAGTATCTGTCTTGCAGTTTGTTTTGTTTTGTTTTAACAAGGATTAAGGAGTATAAATAAATGTAAAGGACTTGGAACAGTACCCAGCACAGAGTAGATACTCTACAGCTTTTAGCATTTTCTTTCCTTTTTTCTTTTTTGTAAGGATATTATTTATTTATTTGAGAGAAAGAGAGTGAGAAAGAGCACCAGAGCACAAGCAGGGTCTGGGGCAGAGACAGAAGGAGAAGCAGACTCCCAGCTGAGCAGGGAGCCTGACACGAGACTCGCTCCCGGGACCCTGAGATCATGACTGGAGCCAAAGGCAGACACTTAACCAGCTGGGTCACCCAGGTGCCCTAATCTTAGCATTTTCAAATGGGGATACTATTAAGGACATACATTTGAATTCAGGATCTTGCTTCATCCCATGGTGGGACGTGGAGCAGGCCACAGCAGAAATACTGCATCTGGCAGCACCTAGCAGCTGTGGAACAAAGAAGGGCGTACGTATCATTGACGTGAACAGAGACTATCCGTGGGGTCCAGGCAGTCAAAGAACGCGGGTCAAAAGACCCAACGAGTCATGAGTTTGAATATCTGTGGCATCTAGTGTGATCACAGAGAATGTGAAGGTAAAATGACCCCCAGCCACTCAAATACAGCAGTGATGATTTGGAGAGAACGTGGGAAGTAAAGAACTCAGTGGAGCTGACAGGGTTTACCAAGAGCAGTGAAGAGATCCGAGCTCAGAGCCATCCACCTGGACGAGAAGCAGAAGCAGGGTGTGTAAAGAGTCTATAAAAAGGAATCCTAGGGCAGCAGGCATTGTTTTTCTCACAGAGCTTACACTTTCTATTGATTTCTGAGGCTTTCTATTTCTAGAACATCGTTCTGATTTGGGCACTGGCATCCTAACGCCGCTCTCAGAGATGGACAGACGACTGCAGGACAACAGGAAAATGTGGGAGGGTGTCCAGTCCGTACTGCTCACTGCCTTCAGTGGGGGCATAACATTCGGTGGCGGTGGTGGCTTACACAGGTCCCTCTGACAGGATCTCACAGAAAGAAGCACAGCCTTGTGTTTGAAAGAGTGGAAAGCAATGGGATGTAGAATACATGGGTGTCCATGAATATTTTTATAAACAGGAAACTTGGGGCATTTGTCACCCTTTTATTGATTCATAAATCCATATTTTTAGAACGTAAGTAAAGACAAACACACATAATTTATATTCATCTCTCCCACACCCCGAGAAGTTTTTCTAATATGAAACAGTCCTTTCTGCATTGTCTAAAAATGTGATGTGCGCTCAGCATTTTAAACTTGTTTGCACTGCGGCCTCGTAATTGCATTTCTGGTCCGGCTTCTAACTAGGTCAGTGAGCAGCTGCTGTGTGCAAAGTACTTGTGGGGTCCTGGGCCAGCATGACGTGGTAAGGGGATGTGTTCGAATCCCAGCTCGGCCATTTATATTGACCTTGAACAAGTTAGATAATCCCTCCGATCTCTTGGTTGTCTAAAATATAAATGCTAAAAATGCCCATTTTAGAGAGATCTAGGCCTGGGTCGCCCCGGGGGGGGGCACAGCCTGACATGAACGCTGGTGTGCACACAGCTTATTTGTATATGTGGTCCCCGGGGAGCAGGAATGCAGGCCGGCGGGTGGGAAACAGGGAAGGAGACGCCAAGGGAAGGATGAGCTACCAGCCGTCCACCCATCCACGCAGCTGGGGCTCCGTCCTGCCAGGTGCTTTTGAGAAGTCTTAGGAAATGAGACCCAGAACTGTTTGTATATGGACAGGGACAGAGCAGGGAGGGGCAGCTGTCCACAAGCTCCCGTGCCCCATTGGTCAAAGATGACCTCTATGGACCTTAACTCCTCCATCCCCTAGGCTCAACACATGGGGGTGCAACACAAGAGTTCCCGTGGACACCAGCTGTGAGGGCAGAGAACTTCGGGCAGAATCAAGAGGGACTCACGGTGGGGTGGCCACGAACCTTTTAGAAGGCAGAGCATCTTCTAATCGACCCCTGCAGGGAGTCTGTTAAATCTCACATGAAACTCAACACTGCATCAGTGGCTGGAGTCAGACATGGGCTGAGGATTTGGATGTGGAGAACGGAAATGTCCCATATTAAATAAAAATTAAATATAAACTACTTAGTACAACAGTGCCTGACATGTTCGAGGCTCTCAGTAAATGTTAATTATTATCATTAGGGAAAACAGAGCTGACCAAGCTCAAGAGGTTTACAGTCTAACAAGGTAATAGATGTATAAACAGCTAACAACAGGCAGAACAAAATGAACATTAAACTAATACCATATGTCCTTGGATTTCTTACATAAATGAAAATAAGCAGATACTCTAGATGTGAAGGGAATGGGGAAGGCTGCAATTGTCCTGTTGAAGCTGACTTTAGCATAGCTGGTCTGAATGGTGAGAAAAGGCTGTGGCCAAAGTAGAGAACGTACAGAAGGGAGGCCATCGTTCTGTTTACCCTGGGCCCTCCAGTCCTCAGCAGCGGCCCATCCAGTCCTGTGATGCGGATTATTACCTGTGTGGGCTGATGCGTTCCAAGTCTGCATCTCCAGCCCAGACCCGACTACAGACCAAGTACTTTCTAGACCTCAGGTACCTTAAAATCAACAGATCCAACCCCCAACTAGACACCTTCACCTCCCATCCCTGATCATTCTCTCCCTTTTTCCCTCTGTCTCTAAATGACAAGGCAGACACTTGGCAGGCATACTTTCCCCCGACGAACATCCCTGCTGGGTCCCCACATTGGGATCCATGCCAACTCCTACTACCTCCTAAACAGTTTTTAGGTAATTCTGCTTCTCAATATGCAGAATTCCGTCACCCGAGTCTGGGCTGTCTTATACCAACATTACTAGAACTGGGACTGCTAGCTTCCCAGTAGTCTCCTAACTAACTTCCAGTCATCTCCAGTTTTAATTCCAGCAAATTTCTCTCTCTCTCTCTCTTTTTAATAAATCTTGTTTTACTTCATCTATTGTCTTCCTGATGTCTGATGATAAGGGCAGTATCTGGTCCATCATACAACTCACTAAACGTGGAAGGAGCAAAGAAGACAAGCAGGCAGGTGTTGACTTGGAAAGGTTACAACAGCACAAAAAATGGAGGTCTGGGGGTCAGCGGTATCAGTGGTAGATTATACAACAGGAACAGAAGAGATTGCCCGTTCTCTTGTCTTTATTTCCCTTTTATTTTTTCTGTTTTCCCTTAAGCATCTCTGACTCTGCTCAGTTTCTTCCTGTGTCCCGTTCCTTCAGTGTTGGGCAGCTTCTCTGTCTTCAAATTAAATGATTCATAAATTATTGATTCAAATAGTAGTATAAAGAAATAACAGGTCAACTGTATTATCTAACACTTGTGTTATACTTTACAATTCATAAACCCCTGTCCTATAAATTTTAGGAACAGAGACTGGCAGGAACTCTAACTTCTTCTTTTAAAGAAAAAAATAGTGAAAATTATGCTTCATATTCACATGTGACGGGTCATAAGAAATATGAGGCAGAGGAGGGTGCTTGTCATGCTTTAGAACTTGATTTGTGACTCCCTGTTACATATAATGAACTGAGTAGAATATCCTTCCTACTCCCTTCACTCAGCCAAATGATCTCCACAGTTTTCCCCAAGTTCAAATGAACGAGCTCGTGGGATATCCTACACTGAAATAAGCTGGATCCCACAAAGGGCACTTGTTCTGACTCATCTGTCTCCTTCCTGCCTTCAAAGGGGGATGTGCGCCGACTCTGCCCCTTTTCTGTGCCTTTCCTCACTCACGCCTGATCATTCCATCTCAGTTCACTCTCTCTGGGTATGTAGGCATGCGTGAAGACGCTGACCTTCAGCCTTGTTTCAGAGGAAACACTGACCTTGACGTTTGTCTCAGATTTTAAACTAATTGCAGTTTTGAAATTGAAAAATATAATTGGTGCAATTATTTCAGAGATTTTTTTCATGTTTAGAAGAATGAGTCTTTTGTCCTTATTCCTTCTACTGTTTTATCAATATTAAAATCAGTGAAATTGTTCATACTCTGAACTGGCACTAATTACACTGATTATTTGAGAACAACTTGACTCTGTATTACCCAGAGATAATTCAACCTCTTCCTCGGCGAAAGAAGAGAATATTGTTAGTTTGGTTAATTGTGTGCAGTACCCTCTTTTTTCATTAACCAGTATTGAGGAGACACTAATACACTGACATGTTGGGGAAATGGGTAATTGTTAATCAGTTTTTCTCCCTTCAACAAAATCTGTTTCAGGAGTGAACACCCACTTGCTCAGCTCTACTGCCATTCGATCATGGAGCACCATCATTTTGACCAGTGCCTGATGATTCTTAATAGCCCAGTAAGTACCTACTTCATGGCGGCAGAATTTTAAAAGAGATCTTTATAAATTCAGTTTTATTTTTAAGTTTTGGATGGGTTCCCAGCACCATAAATTCTTGAGCCTGCTTTATTCCTTTTTGGGTAAGGAAGGCAAAGCCAAAACATTTCAGATCTTCCCAGCCTCGCTTCTCTACACAACCAAGACTGTCTCAATGTTGCCTGATAAAGGATATCTGGTTACTCACCTCAGTTTGGTTTTTGCAAACTAGAAATAAACAAAACTAGTATTTTATGGCTCGCAGTTAATTCTTTTTTTTTCTTTCTTTCTTTCTTTTTTTTGGTCAAATGAAGTGGCTTATATAGCTGTCAGAGGTTTGCTTTCACAAAACCAGGCCTGTTCCGCTTTTTATTGAATATTCTGACTACTCACAAACTGTTATGTTAAGGAATAGAGCTGTTCAACAGTTTGGTTAAACGAATATTTATCAGTGCAGAAAAGCATATGATATGCTACGCTAGACAAACTTGTGTGAAGGGAAATCAAATAATGTACACCAAAGCATTAACAAGGGTTGTCTCAGCCTAGTTAAATTATTAATACTTTTTATGTTCTCATTTTGATTTGTTCATTATTCACACTATCTACTACACGCATATATTACCTTTATAATAAGGAAAAAGTGAAGCTGTAACTATCACATGGAACAAACACAAAACATGGTATATAATCTTAAAGCAGTTTTACCTCCATCTTTTTATGCTTGCTCGCTGGGACTAGCTCTTCTCTGAGCCCTAGAACAAAACTTAGGAGGCCCATAACTTTTCTGGTCATTCTTTCTTCTTATCTTTTCTTTCCTTTCTTTTTCTTTCGAGAGAGACAGGGGGTGGGTACAGAGGGAGAGAGAATCTCAAGCAGACTCCATGCCCAGTGCCAGCCTGATGCAGGGCTTGAGCCTGTGATCCCATGATCCCAAGGTCGTGACCTGAACCAAAATCAAGAGTCGGACGCTCAACTGACTGAGCCACCCAGGCGCCCCATTTTCTGGTCATTCTTTTTAAGTAAAAGCCTTCTAATTACCTTAAGTCCCAAAATATAGTATACAGGTCTCAATTTAGAAACCAAAATATCACCGGGCATGGCGGCCCACGCCTGTAGTCCCAGCTACTCGGCAGTCTAAGGCAGGAGGATCACTTGAGCCCAGGAGTTCTCGGCTATAGTGCACTATGCCGATCGGGTGTCCACACTAAGTTCGGCATCAATATAGTGACCTCCCGGGAGCGGGGGACCACCAGGTTGCCTAAGGAGGGGTGAACCGTCCCAGGTTGGAAACAGAGCAGGTCAAAACTCCCGTGCTGATTAGTAGTGGGATCGCACCGGTGAATAGCCACTGCACTCCAGCCTGAGTGCAACATGTAGCCAGACCCTGTCTCTTAAAAAAAAGAAAAAGAAAAAAGAAACCAAAATGTCTAGTCCTGCGTAAGTCTGGATTCTGGATTTGGTTTAAAGTCTTCAGGCTCTCCCCTTCCTGCTCTGGTTGGCTTCTTTCATCCCTACCTTATGTTATTTCTAACTCCTTCCTCATTCCTAAACCCCATGTAGTTTTCTATCTCTCCAGACTTGGAGAGTAGGAAGGGGGAATGAGTAAGAAGAGGGGCAAGAACCTTCTCAATAGACTGGTACTGTTAGGAATGTCTCACTCTTTGGGTCTGGTAGGTGTTTAAACCAAGTTATTTTCTTGTGGGCAAGTTCATGTTCCCTGCCAGGCTCCTTTATTGTGGGGTTTTTCTACCAGATGTTTCTTTAATGTGAATGGTCATCTCTGTCTGCTCTATGTATGGCTCCTTCCTCAGCTCCTAAAAGTCAGATCACTCACTTGGAGAACCTTTCTGCGAAGGTTCTTTAGCCTTCTTTGTGGCCCTCTTGAAAAGGACAGGGTGGAAATGAACCCCCGCCTCCAAAACTCAGAGAATGCAAGCCGTCCCATATAGTAGTAAGCTTTCCTTTACTGTCAAAGTCAATGTGGCTAGTTAACTTGTGCCTTGCCTTTTAGATTTTCCAGACAGGAATTAGACGTGAGACCACTGCGGGCCCTCCCACTCCCACTAGGCTACAGGGGACATATGTAGGGACTTCATGCTCCTCTCTTACCTGAGGTGACGGGGAACATGATCACACCTCTCCCTAAACATCTCAGTGTGGATGAGGGGTTAAGAGTTACACAACGAGATCAGCCACCTCATTATAGATTCTGCATACAGTCTCATACAGATTGCTAAAGTATGTGATTGTTTAATATGAATTAGTTCATGTGTGGTTGGTGCTTAAATGACATTAGCATAAGTGTACAGGTTGTATTCTTCCCTACACACATTCCCTTGGGTACGGTACCATAATTATGGAAGTTGAATTTTGACCTTCAGCAAGAAAGCAAAAAAAAAAAAAAAAAATCCCTCCCCTTGGCTTTTGCTCATACACCCTTTCTGTCCTATATCAAGAAGGTTGACAAGGTCACTTGCACCTAAGGCATTGCTCTTTTGCTTTGGACACTGGCTTTGGGCTCGGAGGAGGCTGCTCTTCCTTCAGTGCCCACCTAAGCTGCCCTACTGTCTCCAGATCCAGTCCCAACCACGTTGTCTCTGGGCCCCCACACACCAGCGTGCATGCCCTTGTTCATACATCTTGACCGTTCACAGAGGGCCTCCAGACTGGCCGGTCTGAGCTGTCCAGGTTACCTCCACATGCACCAGTCTTCAGTCTGCTTTATGCTCTGCTTCCTAAAGTTGCACAGGTTTTGTGTGATCTGCCCCAACATGATTTGTCCCACAAACCATATCATTTTTAGTGTGTAGGGTTTCAGAACAGAGACTTTTCAGGAATCACATATTGTGTGGTAGTAGAAGCATCTGTACTTTCCTTGGGGTTTGCTATCTATGTGCCTTATTTAAAAATATAAAACTTTTATTTCAATATCCCGTTTAGTTTTAAAGAAAGAAAATATGCTAACCTTTTCCTAAAGCATATTTAACAGTATCCCTATCAGAAGTACCCATGTCATTCAGTGACATAGCTTAGTAAGTAGTATGTTATAAGACCATGTGTATATTCTGTCTTTGTAAGCACCAAAACATAAGAACTCAAGGTCACTGTTTTCGGGAATGGAAAATAAAAACATAACAGCAAAAGATACTTCCTTTTCCACTTAAAGTTGTTTTATGTTAAATAAAAGTAGCAGGAGTTATTTTCTAAATAGTTTTCTTTCTGGCCTAGAATCTAAAATGACTTCATAGTTAAAAACAATGTGCATGGTTACAATCACAGATTCATTAATTAGATACACACCACAGTGTTGGCATCTAGTTACCCTCAAACCAGTGTTGCCTGCCGCACTCAGCAATTTCCCTGTCTTTAGAACATATCCTTTGCCTCCAGATATCATTCCTACACTTCTGGGTCTTTTTTTTTTTTTTCCACTGGACCTGCGATTTAGGAAGCACATCTCACTTAATTTACAGATACTGTTTTGAAGATATGCTGAGTACCCAAGGAATGTTTTCTGTAGTTCAAGATGAGAGAACTACTATGCTTTAAATTACAGATAAGAAATTTTAAAAAATGGTTATATGGCAGAAATGTTCCATTATTTACAGCTGGATTAGCCAGCTTTTCAATATTTCTTATAGATGTTTCAACCCATGTTTGCTTTTTATCACCAGTAAGCACACCTTTGGCTCATGTCTTGTACCCATCTGTATCAGCGTGTTCCTAAAGAATACACAGTGTTCTCAACATTGATTAAGTTAAATTATATAGCTTTGCACCCAAAAAGTGTTTTTGGATTTATTACAAAAGCCATAGAGAACTGATTTCTTTAATAATCAATTGTTTAAAAGTTTCACTACTCCATTCTTCATGTCCATTAACATGGCTTTGATTTTTCAAAGGTTTCTCTTGCTGTTACAGCAATTCACCTGCCCAAAGGTCAAAGATGTAGAGTTATTAGATTTCAGGCCTGGCCCAAGGCCCAAGGGATATAAGATTTGGAAAGACATACATGTGTAGGCAGATGAACCATTATGAAGCTGTTTTTTCTTCTTGGACAAGGTGGTGGAGGTGGGAGCATAGAGGGCAAACGTCCTTTCATGGCATTTTCTCTGAAGTAAGCAGCTGTCCTCTGTATTCATGAGTTCAGAATACTGGGCATGTGTTTAAGATACGTCACTCTGTCTTCAGATTTTGTTCTTGTCAGCCCTTTCTCCAGGTGGAGTGCTAATGATGGTTTTCTTTTTATAAAGGGCAACCAGATCCTCAGTGGCCTCTCCATTGAAGAATATAAAACCACGCTGAAAATGATCAAGCAAGCTATTTTAGCTACAGACCTAGCACTGTACATTAAGTAAGTCCTAAGAAATATTCTGCGATAAATAGGTCTTGGAAGTGTTTGCACTGTTTCAAACTTCTAAAATGCATGTTGGCAAATTTTTAGATTATAAAGACAAATATCCTGGCGAGTCAAATGTCTTGTTTTTCAAACTATGAAGCAGTTTCCTAAAGGAAGCCAGAAAAGGCTATTTCTTTGACTTATCACTTAATGCTACAAGTTCCAGAATACAGAGTTATTTGTGCTGTTGATCTACTGCTATGTCTCTGAAGTGATGTACAAAGTAAATTATCATACCCAGGTCATACCAAGCTAGGTTGTGCAACCTAAAGATGATATAGACTGTTTGCTTTTCCTCATTTCTTCACTGCCCCCCTGCAGCTTCTGACCGTGTTACAGCTCCTTTACACTGTCATCTAAGCCTAGGTGGGCAGAAAAGGAGCTAAGTGCCAGACGAATAAATCTTGTTTCTTTTTATTTGATCCTGGCAGAAGAGTATTAATATAGAACTTTAGTTAGTGAAGTTACAGACTCAAAAATTAAAGTGGGCATTAGAGTAATATTTGTCATGCATGTATGCATTTACCTATAATTAAACTGCCTTTCTAAAAGCGAGAAAAGCCTTTGCTGCCTTCGGGCAGGCCAGTTTCCCACATGCAGACTGAGATCTTTGCTGCACGTGTAGGAGTGAAGGGAGAGGAGTCTGGAGGTCACACCCGGGGGATTTCCTTGAAGCACAGTGCTCTCTCCCTCTACACAAAGATTCACACCCATGGCTTTAACCACTCTGATGAGAAGTAAAAACAGAACAGACACACAAAATCACATACCAGATACCCACTCTTGTACATTTAAAAGTAACAGCATCTAAAAGGGTCTGGGTCATTGGATTTTGGAGCACTTGAAAGTTAATTAGGATGAAAGAAAAGACAGCAAACTTCAGTTTATTTAAAATGACTGCAGAACAAAGATTATCAGATTATGAAGAATTTAAAAATTTCTGTAACCACAAAGACTTCCCAGCCTTTCCAGGCCACGTGGGTCTTGCCTCTGAACCTGTATGAAACCTATTTTCCATTTTTGATACTCTAGTCACATACAGTCCGTTTTGTTATATAAGTGTTTCTTACATTTGTTTTGTGTCTCTGACTAGATTTTAAACACGATCAGAAGGGCTCATGCCTTATAACTTCCCAACATGCTTAACAAGTGCTGGGCACAGAGGAGGTATCACTCGACACTGAGTGAATATCAGTGTACACTTTATTTGGTCTTTGCTTCAGAAGACCTTTGCTACTTTATACTGAGTATAGGATATAGAGTAATTATGAACATTTTTCTACTCTATACCATAATGTGTAAGATAAATGAAATTAAACCGAAGCCATATAGATCTGATTATGCCATACCCTTAAAATTTCTTAAGTCATTCTTGGCATCAAATTTTTAACTCATATTTGTTTCATTTTCTAAAGATCATATTTAAGAATTGAAATGACCATTATTTGTGAGCCATAGTGAAATAATAATTTGAAAATAATTTCAATTTTAAAATAATCTGTTTTACCCAAAGAAAATGGTAGAAGGGAGGAGAGTGAGATATTTTTAGTTTTTTTTTTAATTTTAATTCTTATTTATTTATTTTAAAAGATTTTATTTATTTATTTAACAGACAGAGATCATAAGTAGGCAGAGAGGCAGGCAGAGAGAGAGGAGGAAGCAGGCTCCCCTGCTGAGCAGAGAGCCCAATGCTGGGCTCAATCCTAGGACCCTGGGATCATGACCTGAGCCAAAGGCAGAGGTTTTAACCCAGTGAGCCACCCAGGCACCCCGATATTTTTAGTTTCTTAAATGATGACTTCTATATTGGATACTAAGGTGGGGGAAAAAATTTAGAGATTTTTTTTTCCAAAAAAATTTACTCTATGGGTCTTTGTCAACCAAAGAAATAAGAGCCTGAGGACTCATCATAACTACCCAATGTTTTTCTTTATTTTCAAGGAGACGAGGAGAATTTTTTGAACTTATAAGAAAAAATCAATTCAACTTAGAAGATCCTCATCAAAAAGAATTGTTTTTGTAAGTAGGTTTCCTGTCCTTAAAGCTGAAGTCCTGTTACCCAACTAATTTTATCACTATCAGATTTTATTGCAATTATTTGTTACAATGTGATGATCTTAGAGGTTGTTAGAATTCTCTAGAGTGTTATATAAAGGGCTGAATATGAATATTTGTTTGAAAAGAAATGCATTTGCCAATACAAGTGAATAAATCACTCCTTTGTCCTAGAAGGACCTTTAAAATGTGGTAGAATATCAATACAAAGCTGTAAGGTTCCCTTGCTCATATTCCCAATTGTTTGGAATGGAATAGCTGAAAATAGCATCTCAAAGACTGTGGAAGCAAGAAGGTCGCTGAGAAGCGTTCACTTCTCTTGAGTGATGGCAGAGTAGCACAGTCAGAACGTCAAGATTTCCATTTCCCTCCCCTGTACACCTGTCCTTCCCTTCTAGCTGCAGAGACCATCCCTTCGGTGTTAGCATTCCTACCTTTGCCACGGCAAGAACCGGGTCCACCACAAAGAACAGGCGGTCAATCATAGAGAAAAGAATGACTCAGAACACCAAGGAGAGTTCTACCATAATTTTGAAATAAACATTTCTTTAAATGGATTGATACTACTTAGCATGCAAAAGAAGATGCAAATTCTAAGGAAACAACACACAAATGCCCAGCCTGTCTGTTCTGTTCTGCGCAATCATGCTTGACTTCTTAGTCTCAAAATGCTTTTCATAACAGTTCCTTAGAAAAGTAGAGACCTGTAGAGGCGCCTGGCTGGCTCAGTCGGTAGAGCATGCCTCTTGATCTTGGGGTTATAAGTTCAAGCCCCACACTGAGTGTGGAGATTACTTAAAAATAAAAAAAATTAAAAAAATTAAAAAAAAAAGTATAGACATGCTACTGTAGTTAGTGAACAGTTTGTCCCAATAACAAAAAAGAAATCCAAAGGCAGTTCCAAGTCTACAGCTGTTCCCACTGCCAGGTCCTACGCGCTTGCAGAGAAGAGCTCCCAGTTCTAGAACACAATGTCCCATGAGCACCCATTTTTCAGATTTTAGTGAAGCTCACTGAGGGGTATAGTCTTCTCTGGGGCAGACAGTTTATACTGATGAGCACCGAAATCCTGCATGACAGCGGGTTTATAGTGATTGCAGATATCTCTCCTGCACCCACTTCTCCAAGAGAGTTGGTGGAAGAGGTCGAGTAGCTGCAGCAAACCACTTCCTTTTTGCCTCACAAATGTAAGGGAGAACGTGCTTTTAGGTTGGGTTTCCCTGCAGGGACGAGGGATACAGCCCTTTACCGCAAGTGTTTCTGTATTACAGTGATGGCCTTTCTGCCTCTTCATTCAAACGAAATTATTACAGACATGCCTCTGGCTCCAAGATGGGAAACATTGCACTAAGTACAGAGCCATTGTCATATGACAGTTATGCTACTGGGTTTCTAGAGCACCTTGTATCGACACCAGAGCCCAGCATGACTTTTGCTTCTCTCAACCACAGAAAGACAAAAGAGCACTGTCCTCTCATTTCCCCCTTTCTCTGGCAGATACTGTTTAAGTCAGAGCTTTTCACACAGAAAGAAGTCACTTCATATGCTGAGGTCAGCATTGGGATGACCCACCATCATTCTTGCTCTCCTAGAACTTCTATCAATAGAATATCTGATGTTACCCTTTAATGGCAAATTACTTACTAGTGGACAATGTGTTTTCATCTTAGTGTCACTGAGAATGGGATACCAAGGTGAAAAAAAATAGTAACAGCAGGCAAGCTTTTGCCCAAGGTTAGTAATTTCTCTCCCTGTGCCAATCTGGAGCAAAAGGAGGCAGTTTCAGGGCAAATCCCAATAGTTCAGTGGACAGCCAAAACCGTGACACAATGCTGTTGCTGAATCAATCAAACTTTAGAAAAATTTTTTCTGTTTCTTTAGTCTTTATAAGCAGCCATCCTACATAGGTTAGGGGGCTTTAAATTTAAACTTTTTACCAGTAACTATTTACCAAGCATATATATTTGCATAAAAAGGAGGGGGAGGAAAACCATGAGAGACTGTGGACTCTGAGAAACAAACTGAGGGTTTTAGAGGGGGGGTTGGGTGAGCCTGGTTGTGGGTATTATGGAGGGCATGTATTGCATGGAGCATTGGGTGTGGTACATAAACAATGAATCCTGGAACACTGAAAAAAATTAAATTTAATTAAAAAAAAAAAAAGTAAATCGTAGCCTTGGGCTTCTTTTTTCCCTTAACAGAGCGATGCTGATGACAGCTTGCGATCTCTCTGCCATTACCAAACCCTGGCCTATTCAACAACGGGTATGTTGCTTGCTGATAGTAAACGCAGGGATTAAAAAGTCAAAGGAAGAAAAGTCTGTATTCTAAAAGTAGCTTCGGGAGTATTTGTGGTATTTTATCTAATTTTTAAATGGTATTAAAAGCAGATAATTGGACATAACCAGGTTTTCTTTTTTAGAAGTTTCCTTAGCATGTACTAATATTTATAAGATACAGTAAGAGAGAGAGCACCTGTATTAACACAGCAAAAATCCAGCTGTTGATAATCTTCAATTCCAGTACTTCTGGCTCCCTTGGGAATGTTTTTAGCACATTTTTTTTAATAACCTTGAAAAACAAGCAGCAAATTATTTTCTTTTTATGATTTTTCTTTATGGTTAGCCTTCCAGGCTATACCTCTGCTCCAAGTAGGCATTAATGAGTAGAACTTAAACATGTCCTGGGGCTTATAAATATAGGAAATGTTGATAGAAGGTGTCAGGAAGGATGTGATCAGGGCCTGTGGCTGGGAGGCTAGAAATATATCCTTCTCTCTAAATAAGTAACTGCCATAACATTTCTTAGAGGCAGTAAAGGCCCTGGGCTCAGACAGGGACGGCTGTACATACAGTGCTGCAGATATCGTGCTTTTGGTTTTTAATCCTAAGTGCACTACTCGAAACTGTTGACAGTCTGCTGCTGGTCAGGGCTGGGCTCTGAGCTGCACAGTCATGGAGGCCAGTGACAGGTTCATCTCATAAAACACAAATGCTGAGAAAACAAGATTAGAAATGGACTCTGCAGGCACCATAGCTGCCGACATGCTGTAAGCACTCAAGAAAGATGGTCTTCATGGACTGTCCTGCTCCGTAATAAATGGGACTATCTGCCCATTTCCAAATAGGGAAGAGGGTGGAAGAGGGAAGAATTTGTCTTTTCATTTATCCTTTCAGCTTAATCAGATCCCAGAAAGGTAGAGCCATGAGGTTGGGGGTCCAGACATAAAAACAAATACTTAAAGCCTCTAATTAAAATAGTTTGGTATTGGTGATAGACCAGTGGAACACAATAGAGCATTGAGAATTGCATAGAACATTTAGTGTATAATAAAGATAGCATTTCAAATAACTGGGGGAAGAGAGAGACTTTTTATGAAATAATCTTAGGGTGACTTTCCCATCTTCCATAACCAGATGCCAAAAGACAAAATTGGATGTACTTTGCATACTTACATTCCAAATGGAGCATAGAGTTCAATGTAGAGAATTAAACCATAGAAGTACTAAATAAAAACATCTGTGGATTCTTGCATAACTTAGGAGTAAGAAAACTTACCTAACTATGGCTCAACATGTAGAAACAATGGAAAAGATTGATAAACTTGATTACATAAAAATTTTTTAAAAAGCAAACTTTTGCATGGCAAAAGACACTGTAAGCAACGTAAAAGTAAATGAGAAACTGATAAAAATATTTACAACTTACGTTTTATATTTAATACCCCAATATTAAAGAACTCATAAAAATAGAGAAGAAAAATGACAACAATCCTTCAGAAAAATGGGCCAAAATTTTGAACAAAAAGTTGATGGAATGTGAATGGCTCTTACTCATTTGCAGAGGTCCTCAGAACTTCATTCATAAGAACTACAAATAAACTTGACACAGAAAAGCTTGTATAGAATCTCATAACAGGGGGCACCTGGGTGGCTCAGTCCTTAAGTGTCTGCCTTCAGCTCAGGTCCTGATCGCAGAGTCCTGGGATCAAGCCTGGTGTCGAGCTCCCTGTTCAACAGGAAGCCTGCTTCTCTCTCTCTCTCACTCTCCTGTGCTTGTGTTCCCTCTCTTGCTGTCTCTCTCTGTCAAAGAAATAAATAAAATCTTAAAAAAAAAAAAAAGAATCTCATAACAGCTCCATTCCTAATATGGTAGTATTATATATGGCAGATACGTTCCAAGACCCCCAGTGGATGCCTGAAACCACAGATAGGACTGAACCCTTCTATATACTATGTTTTTTCCTATGTATACAATCACTATGGTAAAGTTTAATTTATAAATTAAGGACAGTAAGAGATTAACAACAATAATAATAAAATAGAACAATTCTAACAGTAGACTATAATAGAAGTTATGTGAATGTGGGGTCTCTCTCTCTTATTATATTGCACTCTCCCTCCTCCTCTTCGTGATGATGGGAGATGATAAAGTGGAGAGGTAGTGGGCTGGATGATACAGGCATTGGGATGGAGCGTTAGGCTTCTGTTGGCTTCTGACCATATATCAGTGGGAGGATCATCTGCTTCTGGACCGCAGTTTGAAACCATGGAAAGCAAAACTGTGGATAAGGGAGATTACTGTGGTCGATCAGCAGGAAGATAGCTAAACATACTGTAGTGTATTCCATATAACTCATACAAGTTGTTGTATGAACTACTTAATATTGTAGCGTATTCCTTATTCCTTACATATTTCTTATGTAGTGTAATATTTATTCCTGTAGTGTATCCACTGATACAGTGGAGTACTGCTCAGCAGTAAAAAGAAACTCACCATTGATACATGTGACAACACGATGAGTCTCATGAACACCATACAGAGCAAAAGAAGCCAGACGCAAAAGAATCTGTTCTGTGACTCCATTTCTATGAAGTTCTAGATGAGGCAAACTAATCTCTGGGGAAAGAAATAAAATAGTGATTGTGACGAGAGAGAGGAAAGAAGGGGCAGGAAATCACTGAGAAGGGTCATAGAAGTGATAGAAGTATTCTGTATCTTGGATGGGGTATTTATTACATGGTTATATGCATTGGTCAATACAGTGAACTCATGAACTGTGCGATTCAAAGTATGTAAATTCTACTTCATTTAAAAACAAACAAACACTGAGATACTATTTCTTACTTATCCAGTTGGCAAAATCCAAAGACTTCACGAGATATTCTGTTGGGGAAGTTGAGGGAAAAAAGGAATGCAAAATACTGTAGCTCTTTGGAAGTTTATAAATATATTCATTTACCATTACTTCTAGGCATCTTATCCCAAAGATATACTGGAAAGAATATAAAAAGATATTTATACAAGGCTACACACTTTAGTACTATTTGTAATGGCAAAGACCGGAAGTAACCCAAATATTCATCAGTAGGGTACTGACTGAATAATTTATAGCACATTTACACGATGAGTTCTGTGCAACTGTAAAAAGAAATGGGGGAGTATCTGTATACTACTACGGAGCGATTACAAGAATGTATTTTTAAGTGAAAAAAGCAAGGTATAGAAAAAAGTATATTGTACTCTACCATTTATCTAAGAAGAGGGTAAAATATGAATATATGTACATATTTGCTTCATATTTTAAAAACCCAGGATTAACTACAAAAAAGTTAATGATTCCCTATAAGGGAAGGAGGAAATAGCACTTAGGGAACAGAAATGGAAGCTAGAGTTGCTGAGTGTACTAGTTTTGTAGATTTAACTTTGGAACGGTTTAAATCATTTCTAAAATTATAAAATTGAATTTTAAGTATCCATAAGCCTTGAAAGTAAGTGAAACAAGCCTGATTTTGGTTGCAAAACCATACATGAAGGGAACTATTTCATTCCAAGTGATATTAAAACAATACTTTGACAATGTATCTCTAGTGGGGTGTACCCTAAAAACAAAAAGGAATTACCAAAAAAAAGCTTTAAACTGTTTTTAGTAATCTTATTATTAGTGGTGATTTTGCATAGATACTCAATCACTGCTTTAGATGATGCGGGATAAAAGCAAATAAAAAATACTGTGTTCGTGTTGTTGAGAGCTAGGATCATCAGTGTAAGTAGAAAGATAAATGTGGTTAAGGTTGGGCAGAAATGGTGTAGTCCTGAATTTGAATTGAAATGTTGTATGGACTTCTGTTGTGTCCTAGCTCCATCCTCTAAAAGGGCTTAAAAATAATGACCAACCTTGTGCCCATATTGAGGTTTCTAAGTACTTCAATTTAAAGGAACAACTGCTCTGAAAAGAAACAGCTGATAGCAGTTCTAAAGCAGGACATGAACAGAATGAGCCTAGAACATCTTATTGTATCAGAAAGCAGGGAAGCTATTAAAGACTGGTAGGGGGGCACCTGGGTGGCTCGGTGGGTTGAGCCTCTGCCTTTGGCTCAGGTCATGATCTCAGGGTCCTGGGATCGAGCCCCGCATCGGGCTCTCTGCTCAGCGGGGAGCCTGCTTCCTCCTCTCTCTCTTCCTGCCTCTCTGCCTACTTGTGATCTCTCTCTGTCAAATAAATAAATAAAATCTTTAAAAAAAAAAAAAAAAGACTGGTAGGGTTTTTCAAAAGAACAGAGAAGCCAACTTAATAAGCTCCCACTGGCTGAGATGGGACAATCTGAGTATCAATAAGGATTGAAATCCATTAAATATGTTTCAATCTAAAAGTTCGAATTAGTAATAAAAATAATAAAATGAAACCTTCCCTGGTCATCCTTGATAGTTGCTTGGAAACCAAGTTGCTTTTTTTCAAATGGCAATTAAAGTGGAAAAAAGCATTTCTCCTGCTTTTCTTATATGAATCGTGCTTTAGAGTAACTAAATAATTGATATGGGGAACTTTCTTTTTATTGTACTTCAACTAATAAAAGAAAAAGAAATGATCGCTTTGAATATCACCTTTTTTAGCCCCTAAAGTAGTGGATCTAGACAAAGATCATTCCTGGTGTCTAATATTACAAAAAGAGAGGCAGCCAGGCTTTATATGGCCCCTGATGGAGGTACACAGCAATGCCTATGAAGCAGTCAAAAAAAAAAAAAAATCTAATCAAGCGTCTAGATCTTATTAGCAGTGTGTGGAAATACAGGGCACAGAGGAACATGAAATGACATAATGGGAATGCAATCAGCAAAATCCACATAGAGGAGAACTGCAGGATAAACAACCCAGTTTACCTAACGACAACAACAAAAATGATAAGGACAATTTTTGAAAAGAGGAGGAACATGTAGATTAAGATAAATTTAGGGCGCCTGGGTGGCTCAGTTGGTTAAGTGACTGCCTTCATCTCAGGTCGTGATCCTGGGGTCCCAGGATGGAGTCCCGCATCACTGCTTCTCCCTTTGACCCTCCCCCCTCTCATATTCTCTCTCACTCTCTCTCTTTCTCTCTTTGACTCTCAAATAAATAAAATCTTTAAAAAGTAAATAAATGAACTTAAAAGGCATATCTATCAATCACCATGTACGCCCCTATACTGATACCGTGTTTTTCACAGCACCTGGCATAACAGGTACTTAACAAATAGCTCATTGATTATATACACAGATAGGCACATTCTACCTTTCCCCCACTGATTGCTAAAGTTGAAATAACATGTTACTTTTCTCTGCCTAATTACAGGTTATAAACTCTAGCCTTGGTGATTAGGCACATATTTAAAAGCAAATAAAATATAATTTCTATTACTCGTTATTATTATCTTTTTACTGAAGTGGTTGAAAGCTAGCTTTGATAGATTTCATTATCTTTATTCAAAGTCTCTATTTTATAGAGTTGTATGCTTTTAATTGCCAAAACTTAATCGGTTATTTATTTCAGATAGCAGAACTTGTAGCGACTGAATTTTTTGACCAAGGAGACAGAGAGAGAAAAGAACTCAACATAGAGCCTGCTGTAAGTATGAGACCTTGTTGGTAGGAATTATTCAAATACACTCGTTTAGTATAGACTTCTTACACTTTCTGTGGGATATTAGGAACACAGTTTCTTTTCATTTTAGTTTTTAAAACATCTTTCTTATTAAAAGAATTACATATGTTTGTTACAAAAAACATAAGCAAATAAAAGAAGACAAAAAAGACTCTTGGGGCCATCATATTGTACTTACTTTTTTGTAATTTGTTTTTTCTATTTCAATATCGTAAGCTATTTTCATTCTAATGGATACTCTTATGCGTATTATTTATGATGATCACATGAAACAGACAGAGCCACAGTTTACCTACTTCCTTGGTGTCATGTCTGCAACGTTCACTAGGACCAGCAGCACTTTGATAAACGTCTTTGTTGCTAATGCCAGTTTTCATTCTCTTGTTAGGACAAATTCCCAGAATTGCTGTGTTGAAGGGCACAGATTTTTAAAGGTTTTTCATACATACTGCCTTTTTTTACATAGAGTGTGGCTCTCACAGACAAGAGTAAGAGTCTTCACAAACCATTTCTGGCTTTTAGAGTACATTTTCCCTGAAAATGAAGCATAGAGTCTTTTTTTTTTTTTTTTTCAATTCAAATGGACATTTATTGAGTCCATATTAAATGGGACATGGTCCTCACCCCCTCCCCGTGTACAGTTCCATCCACTCTGCTCACTCTTCCTCAGCTGGGCATATCCTGTGTCTCATAGTCTTTCACAGCTACTCCCGGTCTTCTGATGTAATGGTGGGCTCATTCCAAGGCTCAGAACCTTCTTAGAAAGTGGTGGGTAGCAGAGTGATGATCACAGCTAATGGGGAATTTGCTTCATTTTAAAAGCACTCGGTACAGACTCGTTGCTTCCCATGGCCGGTGCTGGGCTCGTCTGCTGCTCCAGTCATGACCTCCTGGGAATAAGCAGGATGACATCTGCATAATTATCCTTCAGAAAGCTCTCTGCATGAATTGAATCGTAATCAGCTGTAGCCTCAGTAGCTTCTGCCACAAAGCTGAGGGTGTTCCACTCCGTATCAGTAGATGATTCAAAGCTGTGTGTTCTCCAAATACACGGCAGTGGTCGACTCTGGGTCAATGGTTGACTCTAGACGAGTGATCAATGCCATGGGTAGGGTGGGAAAAGCCAACCAGGATGAACAAGCCAGAGAGGATCAGGGTCTTCCTAAGCCCAGTACCAGCAGAGTGCAGGAGACCGAGGGGGAAAGAGACAGATAGGCTTGTGTCTGGCCTTTCTCAGCTAACAAAGCGATTGATGTTTTGGGGGCCAACTTGCATTGTGTTCTTTAAGTAACTAGATGTGTGTGTGTGTGTGTGTGTGTGTCTGTTTCTGTGTTTGTATTTTCAGGATCTAATGAACAGGGAGAAGAAAAACAAAATTCCAAGTATGCAAGTTGGGTTCATAGATGCCATCTGCTTGCAACTCTATGAGGTATGTATATGAAAACAGACTTGCTAAATTTAGACTGTGTTATGAATTAAAACCTCAAGTAAATTGAAGCGATTAACACTAGGCTGTTTTTTCCCCCCTGATGAACATGCTGTTTGCATTGAAGAAAGAACACATTTTACATTTGATTTTTCTCAAAAACTTTAATTCATCAGTGTATGACTATCTGCTGAGTGCCTACTCTGTGCTAGACTAGCAAACTGATGTGAGAATACTAAAAAGAATTATATGTCAGTGTTACCTTTAGGAGGGATACTGTGCATACTCTATGTCAGCATATTCTTTTTTAAGTTTAGGCCTAAATAAAGAAAAAAATTATCCAGCTTTTTCTCATTGTATAGTGTAGCTTTAATATTATTAAAATTTCTATGAGGATGTAAAGGAGATAACTGGACAAATATTATAAGTTCCCATTTCCTTACACCTTCTGGCTTGGGATTTTTATTTTTTTAGGTAAAGATATTCTCCCTAAAACATCCCGGTTTGCTAGTTTAGATGCTTATTCCCAAAGTACAGAAAGTAGACACTATCCTTGTTTTTAAAGTTTATATAGGAAACCATCTTAAGTTTTAATTATTTGGGAAAAGCACATTTATCATAGAGTTATCATAGAATGTCAAGACCCAAAGAAACCCTAGAATCTTCTAATCCAGACATTCCACAATTCAGTAACTTTTTTCCCCTACATTTCATATATGTACATGGATTTACTTCATTTGAATCTGTTGTTAAATTCTATGTAATATTGATATGTATTTTTACTATTATTTATTAGAGTCATTATAGAAAACTAAGAGAATTCCACTACTCAGACAACTACTGTTAATACATTAGTATATATACTTTATGAATTTTTTTTCACTTAGCAAATTTGGTTTTTGTAATTCATAATACATCATAATGTATATTTTTTCATGTCGTGTGTTTCTGTGATATTTTTAAAGGCTGCAAAATAGTAACATAGTATACCTAACCCTGTTGTTGGGTATTTAAAGTTATTTTCAGAGTTTCTGTATTACAAAGAAACCTGCAGTGAACATTTTGTATCTAAATATGTGTGCCATTAATAATTGGTAAATAATACCATTAATAAGTTAATCTTTATTATGATCTTTGACACAGGTCTATTTAAGTACATTGTATAAAACTGTTTTATAGGGCGCCTGGGTGGCTCAGTGGGTTAAGCCGCTGCCTTCGGCTCAGGTCATGATCTCAGGGTCCTGGGATCGAGTCCCGCATCGGGCTCTCTGCTCAGCAGGGAGCCTGCTTCCCTCTCTCTCTCTTTCTCTCTGTCTGCCTCTCTGTCTACTTGTGATCTCTCTCTCTGTCAAATAAATAAATAAAATCTTTAAAAAAAAAAAAAACTGTTTTATAGGAGAACACAAATAAGCAGTTCCTGATAGGATCACACTTCAGGAGAGCCATCTGTACTACCAAAAAGCAAAATGTATTGTTTCCCTGAGAAATGGATTCCCTACAGATCTGTCTCTATTGTAACTCAATACAGTTACTTTGGAATGTATGTGTCTGCTCTCTCTCTCATCACATACTCCTTGTCTGCACAGATTAAGAGAACTCAGTCATAAATGACCTGCATATTTGTTCACACAGCTTGTGAAAACCCGTGTGGTGAGCCCGCTGGTGAAATGAGTGTGAGATTGTGGCTCTTGGGAATAGGCCCGAGGAGGGGGCTTATTTCCTGGATGCCTTCTAGTTGTTTGCTTTCTTTTTCTTTCTTTAGGCCCTGACCCATGTATCAGAGGACTGTTTCCCTTTGCTGGATGGCTGCAGAAAAAACAGGCAAAAATGGCAGGCTCTCGCAGAACAGCAGGAGAAAATGCTGATTAATGGGGAGAGCAGCCAGGCCAAGCGGAACTGAGCAGTCTGTTCACGCCGAGTTCAAGTTTACAGACCGTGTATTCTGCAGTATGTCTAGTTTTGCTATACACTCTACGAGTTTAGTGTATACTTTGCCACTGCTGTATTTTTATTTTTTGCACAACTGTTAAGGGCACAGCATGAAATGTTTTTAGGGGACTATTACATATTTTCTGTATATTTGTTTTATGCCACTGATCTGAGGTTATCAACGACACCCACTCTTAGCACATGGATAAGAGCTCTGTTTGTGATATTTTGTGTACTACAAAGTGCAAGTTAAATTCTTGTGCTGAGATTTTTTTGTTTGTTTTGGGGGAATTTTAGGGGTTTTGTTTTTTGCTTGGGGGTTTTAGATCATTGTTTTTGTGTTTTCTGAATTACCAATCTATTAAAGAATGTTTGGAATCTTTTCATTCTCAAAAATAGCCTAGGAGCAAGTTGAATGTATTATGTGACATTTAAAACCTATCTTTTTTTTTTTCTCTATCATAGGATAGAGAAAAGTGCTGGCCTAGTGGATTTAAGGGGAAAGGATAGTATTTGTCAACAAAAAAGTAAAACTGAAACAAATGGCAAGTACTAGAAGGCAGTATGGTAAAGAAAAGGTATTGTTAATTGATTTGCTGTTTTTGTTAGTGAGCAGGAAGGGGAGAACTCTTTCATTTTAGTACATATCTCTATCCAAACACTACCCATAAAATCACTGCAGTCTACCCTCTCTGATGGAAAGCAGGGAAAACCTTCGGAGGAGACACTGCTTTAATGGACTTCATGGTCCTTGACTTTACTGAGGGATAGGCATGATCCAGAAATGGAATGGCCATATCTATCGGTCAGTGAAGAGAAACATTCTGTTGGAAGAGTCCTCTGAGAGTCAGTGTTTTGAATATTGAACTTCCTCTTTTAAATAACTTCCTTATCGTTTCTCTTACAAACCGTAGTTTATAAGTGAACAGTTTAAGTCTCGACAGAAAACTGAGAATAGAAGTGATCATGGGAGCACTGACCTGAGGTAAGATACGACTGCAGATAAAAGGTAAAATGAATCATTATTTTTCTTTGTCAAAGGAAGCATAGAGAATAGTTTTAATTGTATAAACAGAAAGGGGCTATCCTTGATGTTCGGGTCAAAAATTAAATTGAAGAAGCGGGAGAGGAGGAAAGCTTAGGCCTGAATAAAACTTAAGCGTATTGAGTCTGCAGCTGAGAAACTGCCATATTTCAGTTTATAGGACTAGTCAACTCAGAATCACAGAAGTTTGGGTGTGTGCACTAAATGCTGACCCTGAGCTTAAGGTTGTTGATACTTTTCATAGCTTTTTAGCACATTTAGAAAACGTTAATATTGTCTTAGATTTGAGCCCATTTGAGTGGATTCCCATTGATCATGTGTACCCTAAATACACATTTATTCATCATTAGAGAAGCAGATACTGAATCGAGCAACTGGTTCGGGAAAGGAAAATCTGTTCCAAGCATGCGGAAATGTTTGGACTCAAGGAAAGTAGGAAGAGAAGTATTTGTCTGATTTGTTAACCACCAAAAAAAGTTTCTGAGTTTCAGTCACTAATTGGGTAGAAAATCTCTTGGGGACATGGTGCAGCATCCTCAAAGGACTTTCACTAAACATTGTTTCCTATTCATATTGTTTTTTTCTCTCAACTGCCTAAAACTCAATATCCTCATTGTGTTTTTAAAATTCTGAGTGTGAATCTTACATAATGTGATTTTATTCTTAACATTCATGTAAAAAAAAATTGTCTTGCCATTACTTTAGAGTGGTAAATGCTGGTCTAGGAAGTTACCAACTGTTTATTGCTATATGTGTAATTGTTGTAAAACTTGTATTTTGAGGATGCTATTCAGTTTTTATTTGACGTCATATAGGTGAGATCTGTAAAGTTGCCTCTTGGTGGCGCTGGTGTGTAAGTTACACAGGCTGTCACTAAAATAATGTATCTATATACTGGTATACACCCATGCATGCAGACATAATTTTTTAGTATAGAAAAATCGTTTAAAGAAGAGCAGTCTTTAGTAACGTTTTTATCATACACCTTGTGATTTAGCAGTTATGCTAAAATCTGTAATCATGTACTTTAGTAGTTTTTTAGACCCATCTAATATGTCACTGAGATGTATGTATGGAGGTTTTGTATGTGTGCCATTTTAACAAACAAGAAGTTCTATGTAGATTAGAAATTGTTTGGTTTCCTTTAGATAATGGTTTATTTTACTTTACTAGTTTAGCAATTGAAAGAAGTTGGTTAGCGCCATGCCTGTTCTATTGTAGGAAGTTTTAGTTCTTACAAGAAGAGTACTTCTTTAGGACCAGTTAGATGGTTCAAATAATTTTTACTTTTTAGGAAAATCATTCCATACGTAGGTTATCTGGTACATGGGCACAAATCGAAGCTTTTGTTCTTATGTGAATTTTTTTTTCCAGTATCTTCCCAAGTTGGAAAAAATATATTTATAGTCCTTCCTCCCCTGCAATGTATCTGTATTACTAGTAAGAAGCTGTTTTTTTCCTAAAGTTGTTATAGTTATAGCTGAATGATGACATATCATTTCAATTTTCAGCCCCCAAAGTGCCCACTATTTTACTAAGTCGTTAAAAGATGTCTATAAAATTGCCAGGCCTTATATTTTTCGCAGTATTGGCCCTTGCCAGTCACAGTCCTTTGTGAACCTGTGTGAGTCACTTAACCTCTGTGTGCCTGAACAAGTGTTATTAGAGGAGTTATGTTTGGGCAAAGCCTCTGTCTTCATGGAGGATGTCACAGAAGGCAGCCACCACGGCAGCCCTAATGGGCCCTGGAGACCACTGTCAGAAGTGGGATATTGGGCTGCAGGGCACGGTATCTAATCCCACATGTCACTTCCTCTGTTTCAAAGACTGAAAAAAAGATAATACATTTATTTGGTTTCTCATGCAGATCACAAGCGAATGTGAGATTTTGAGTACCTTGCTTCAAGGTACAAACTCTGGGGAGTCATGTTGTCACCACTTATTTGTTAATCGTGAAGAATAGTTTCTATTAGATAAGAGTACTGAGATTAGAAAGTGTATGAAAATACACTGGAAATCTTGGGATCTGGGAGGAAACTGGTCACAGATCTGTTCTTGCCTAGTGGTAAAGTGCCTTTATTTTCAGCACAGAGCACAAATGTTAGACATACTCCGATTTGATTTTCAAGTTTTCTGTATTTTTCACCAGATTTTACTCCTAATGCTTGATAGGTCATCACAAGCAGTGCTGTTGTTTTGGTTTTTATTTTGATTTGATTACAAGAGTGATTTTAAGATGAGAAGAGGAAAAGGTGAAATTGCCGTCGTCTCCTGTGAATGAGTGTAGTTGAAATCAGGTGGTATAACTGAATTGCTCAGTATCAGACATGGAACGATCCACCCTTTATTGAGTCCCTGTGACACAACAGACACTGTGCTCCGCCGTGGAAATAGAGCAGTGACCTCAAGTTGCCCACAGTCTGCAAAAAGGGCTAGATGAGAGACTTACCAGCTTCTGATCCTGCCAACTGAACCTGAAAATATAGGGTACATTATATCACTTGCATTGTCATCTATAACATATGTATTATAGACAGTTTTCCAAGGACCTTCTTTACCTGGAACTTACTAAGACTCCATCAGTGAATATCCTGTCTTCTTACAAATATGCATCATTTACCCTCTTGGTAGCTTAAAGAACACATTATGTAAGGAGTCATGTATTCTACTATATAGAGTTTGGTTTTTGGTTTTTTTTTCCCATATGCTAGCCAGGTAGAGATTACTCAGAGTTCTTTTAGATTGTTAAATTGTGCACAGTTTTGGACCCCTTCTGCTCCCCTACAGGAGGAAGGAAGAAAGTACTAAAGCTAACTTCACCTTTCCATATGTTTCTCAAAAGCCTGTGTAAACGTGTCTTAATAAATGTCGTTGAAAGCAGTGTAAATAGTTGAAAATATAAATTTCTATTACAGTTTAAGAAAAGAAAACCTTATGAATCATCACTAGCCACTGTTAATATCTATTTGTATTCTTATACCTTTTTCAATATATTTGAACAAATATATAGTTTCTGGCACTATTTTTGTACTAGGATAAAGGAGTTATTATGTATATTATGTTTAGCTTTTAAGTCCTTTTAAATAACTGCGACTGTTGATTTCATGTGTTTCCTCTCCCCCACCATAAGAACCATTTCCAATGACTCTTCTATGACAAAATCACTTTAAAGGAACACCTCCCCACCTCTGATGCCCATAAAATCAAGAGTGGTCAGGGTGGTCTTCTGTTGTGCAAACTCTTCACCTGTCGGTTGTTAACTCATTTTGCTATGCTTTGTAAAAATAAAAAGAATGAACAAGTAGGTATGAGTATTGTGTGATTTTTAGGGGAATTTTAGGCAGGGAGAACGGACCCAATGAATGGTTTGAGAGACTTCAGTCAAGCTAACCTGTGGTCCTATTAGCTGAAAAAAATGTGATTTAGTCAAATCCTTTCCTTAACCAAGACCCCTCTCAGTAATAGTCTTCTTTGTATTAACATCCTTTGCTACCAATCTGAGGGCAAAATTTTCTATACCTTCTTCACATCAAGCTCCTAACAGCTCCATGAAGAGTGATTATTCCCAGTCTCCTGTTGCAGGAGGAGCTAAGGTGGAGGAGTTCCATACTTCAAAGGGCACGAGCTGGATTTGAGTTCAGACACGTCTAGTTTCAAAGCAAGTATTTATTCCATTTAGTTCTCTTTTTGAATTTTAATTGTAAAAGGTCTCAGATCCATTCTTGGTGGATCAAATGGACTATCTAGAAGCATTAGAGGTAAAATTTCCTTGACCTAGCAGATTTGGTTTTGTTTGGGTTTTTACTGTTAACATTCCTGGAGTTTATCTGATCATAGCAAATGACAGGCCTTCACAGAACCCCAGATACCACCATGCTTCTGCTGTTAATGTAGAGATGTGGAGGTATAATTAAATTTCGAGTTTTTGATTCATAATTCAGTTTTGCCACTAGACAAGCCCTCTTCATGTGGAACAGAATATCTAGGCTATGCCTAATTCACAAAACCGAAGACAAAAATGAAATGAAAGCTCATGTAAAATAATAGTTTAGATCTCCTGACCACTTGGGGGCGCCAGAGTCCCTGATTATTTAAAGAAGTAATCCCTTCCCGGGGGAAAAATGAATAAAACTGCATTTTAAAAAATTTTTACTAGCTAAAGAAAAGCAAAATGGGAATAATCAGTAAAGAATTAATTCTTGCTTGCTCTTTGATCAGTGATCATTTCATCAAGATGTTCTCCAAACAATAACTGGTCACTTGAAGTCTCCGATATTCCAACCATGGAGACATCACCCCTTTCTGTAGAAAAAGGAAGTATTTGACAACTCTCTTGAATTCACATTCTTGCTATTAGCTGTGCTTCCTTCTCAGCAAACAGGAATTGCTATGTTTGATATATGCAAATGTCAGGGTATGATTTTCTATTCTTAAGGCACATGACATTAAATTAACAGAAACTCTTTGAACTTAAAGAGAATATTCTCTGATTGTAAGCTACATTCAGCCTTGGCAAACAAACAAGAGCTATCTTTCCAGTTCACAAACCACATTTTCAAAATAAACATTCACAAAGGTTATGCATGGAATCAAAATAATTATTTGAAACTAAAAGAAATCTGACTAATTAAATGGCATGCATGATTTTTTCTCTCTGACTTGCCTCATTTTAACTGTGTGCATGTGTGTGTGTGTGTGTGTGCACACGCAAAATATACAGGAACTAAGTTGATTCTCAATCATCTGACAGCAATCCCAATGGCACCTTTTAGGATTCCTCTTTCTAAATTGCCATGTAAAGGACAAGCTTCTATGGCCAATGGCAGGGGAGAAGCAATAAACAAGGACTGTTACAATAACTTTCAACCTTCATATCCCCAATATTAATTACTTTTAAAACATATTTTACTTCTCATCACTGTTTCCCCTTACCCAGCAGGAGTGTTTTTAGGTTTTATATAACACCGATCTAACATATGCCTGTAAAGAAACAATATTCACACTTTACCAACCAGCTCTCTGAAATTCAGAACTTCCCTGGTCTCGCTGATCTGCCTAGCCCAAGAAGGAAAGGCATAAAACATGGTCAGCGACTGCCTCAGCTACAAATGCTCTCTCACTCATACTCTCCGTCGCGCGTGCACACAAGCCAATAGGAGTGGTTTCTAAGGGTGCTCTACTCGGTTGTTAGAATAAGTTATAAATTTTCCTGGGCGATGAAAGGGAGACTGTGTCCTATCTCTATTCCCTTTTTCTTGAAACCCGTGCTTCTCTTTTCTATTCTAGCTCCATACCCCAGGCCTTCAAACATATTTGATTCTCCTGTAGCCCTAAGAAAACCTGCTATAATCACACAGCCCTCCTAAGTTACCAGCATCTCTGCATCTTTCTTGTACTTTAAAGGTACTCAACAAATATTGAGCGAAAGAATGGATTTCCATACTTTGTCACCTGATATAAAATTGAATTTTCTTATAAAGAAAGGGGAAAGTAATGGGGCGCCTGGGTGGC